CATTGCTCTGGATCATCCCCCTACCTGGTCTCTCTCTCCTCTCTTGCCTTCTGGATTCTCTTAGTGTTTTCCAAGAAAATATAAACTCCTTGAAGATAGGAACTTTTTTTTGTTTTTCTTGGCTTTGTTTCCCCAGGGCTTCACGTAATATCTTGCACACTTTAAGATCTTAATGAAGGTTTATTAAATGGAATTGAAATTTGTGTCTCTGGTTCCCCTCATATCTATCTGATTTTACCTCCTCAGTCTCCTTTTCTTGTTCATTATGCTCTACTACCCCAAAGTCTGGGCATCTTCCAAAGCTCTGTCTTCTTTCTCTCCCTTAGTGACTTCCCATTCATACTGATAACCTGTACAGCATCTTGGTCTCTCAGAATGGGCATCAGCTTCCTTCATTCCCATGACTTCTGGATCCCTCTGTTCCCGTATGTTTATCACCTTCCTGCAAAAAACTTCCATATCTTTAAAACCAGTCCTAATAATTTCCCTGAAGTCCATTCTCATATCTCCAACTGTCTCCTGGACAGCTGTACCACCAACACCTCAAACTCAACACACCTAAAATTAAACTCAGCATCTTCCCCCTAAAACTGTTTATTCTTCCTAACTTTCCTGTTCTGTTGGTGTTACTACCATACTTTCCAGGTATATAGACTCAAAACCTCATGATCATCTTGGAATCTTCCCTCTTGTTAATCTGCTGTTTCTAATTAGTTGCCACATTTTATTGATTCTCAATCTGTCTCCTCCATTCATATGATCACCATCCTACTTCAGACCATCATCACCTCTTACATGGCCTATTACAAAAGCTTTCTAACTGGCCTCCCTGATTTCATTATCTTCTCTTTCCCATTTGTCCCTTATGCAATTGCCAAAATAATCATATGAGTGGATAGGTCTAACCATATGTGTCACCAATAACCGTTAGTGGCTCAAAAATCTTTCATGGAGGAGCAGTTAGGTGGCGTAGCAGATAGTGGACTGGCCCTGGATTCAGGAGGACCTGAGTTCAAATGCAGCCTCAGACACATAACACTTTACTAGCTGTGTGACCCTGGGCAAGTCACTTAACCCCATTGCCTAAGCCAAAAAAAAAAATCTTCCATGGCTCCTTATATATATATATAAGGAGCCATGGAAGATATATATATATGTGTGTATACATGATAACATGTATACATTAAGAGAAGTCAGGAGGATAACACCCCCCAATTACACAATACCTGGAGTATTGAGTTTTGAGCATTGCATTTTAGGAAAGATCAGATTTAGAGGTAGAAGCAGGGATATGTGAGCATTTACACCCACATATCAGCTAACACTACAAACCAGGGCTTGATTTGTTGTTTTATTAATTGTGTAGACTTGAGAAAGTGATGGGAAACCGTAAATATTGCAGGTTAAACTTATCATATGTATCATGTGCACCTTTTTCCCCCCAGAGAGCTGGTTGTTAAACATTTACCAGCACACACTGAGTAGAGGTTACCTTAGAAGTCATCTAATTCATATATTCATTTTACAAATGAAAAAGCTGAGGCCCTGCAAGGTGAACTGATTTGTCCAAAATCAAGCAGGTGCCAGGAACTAAGTGTCAGAAATAGAATTCAAATCTGTTTCCTCAGACTCCAAAGTCAACATTCTTTCTACTGTTCCATATTGTGCCTATATGGGATATTGATGTTATATAACGTGTTTAGAAAAGTTAATCCAGGGTCATGAAGAGCCTAGAGAATCTTCCATTTGAGGATTAGTTGATGGAGCTAGGGATATTTAACATGGATATTTGGGGAGGGAAGAGTAAATAATGTCTTCAAGTATCTTAAGGGATGTCATATGGAAAACTTAGTCTTCTTTGCCTCGGAGGGCAGAATTTTGAATAGTGCATTGAAGCTGAAACAAGGCAGATAGAGATCTGCCCTATAGGAGAAAAAAATGCTTCCTAACAATTGGGGCTAACCAAAAATGGAATGGACTGCCCCAGGATATATTAAATTCCTTCTCTAGAGCTCTTCAGGTGCAGGCTACTTAACCACTTATGAGAGTTATCAGGGAAGAGATTCCTGTTCAGGTATCTGTTAGATTAGATGGCTTCTAATGTCTGTTGCAACTCTGAGATTCTGTGATTTTTTGAAAGGTAATGAAAAAGCTGTGTAGACTATAGGCGAAGCTATATAGGACCCTTGAAAATGGTTCTGGGTTTGCATTGATTGCTTACAAAAGATATGACAAATCTGTTCCTTGGTCATTTATTGTTCTCTCTAATTTATGTTCATTTCTACAGTTGATAACAACCTATAACCTATTGAGAAGTCTAGAAAAATATTTTATATGTGAGTGTGTATCTATATCTCTGTGCCTGTGCGTGTTTGCTTTTTAAAGGCATAACTTATGGCTTGGGCTTGATTTAAAATGTTAGGTTCACAAACAGCAGGTGTGGGCTAAGGGGCTACTTCAAAATATTCTAAAGCTTATCCATCATCAGGATTTCCTTCATATTGTTATATCGAGTGGAACATTTCATATGATTTCAGAAATTAGTTATTGATTGTGAGTGTATTGTAGAATAATGCCCTTTTAAAGAACATTTGTATTATCCATGGAAGGTTGCCTTATGTGAAAGAGGCTCAGAAAGGGACTCCCTCAGCAGGGGTTTAAATGGGTCTTGGGTATTGATAATCTGTATTGAATTTCCAGGGTAACACGGACTAGTCTTAAAAACGTTAGAGATTTTTATATTATAAATATGACCACAACATTTTGGACTTGGTGAAATAAAGAAAGAGTGAAAGACTACCATTTAGTTTATTTTGATTCAAGTTACATAGTAAACTTAATATGAACCATGTCTTAGAGATAAGAAAATAATGAAGGGTTTTAAGTGAAGGAGTAAAACATCTTTTTTTTTAATCATTGGACAGCAGCTTTACCTGGGGTGGAACTGAGATACTTCACAATATAGTGGTTATTTACTATAGCTAGGCTATTTACAGTGAGAACTGAGGATAACCTAATTGATTTAAATGCTCCGTTAATCTAGTTAATCATTAATAGACAAGGATACTGGTTACTCGTTTTTGAGATTCATTTGGGCATCTTTATATTTGAGAGGAAATTTTTAAAGACAGTGTAAGGATTTGACCTAAGGTTTGGCACTCATCAAAAGGGTATTCTGTCCAATAGCACAGTAATGCTTACTGCCTGAGGTGACACTGATGTATTCTCATGTATTATTTAGGCATTCAGTTGCATTCTATTTCAATAGAAATAGGAATAGATTTGTCCTCACTCTTTATGACTCAAGATTTCGCTGAAAATCCAATCGTCTTAAAGAGATATTTTATTCCAATCTATTCTTTCTTTATTATTCACAGTTGTTCCTCACCCACCTCCTCCCCCATTAGAGACTTTCTGAGGTCAGAGAGTAGCTTAAAGCAAGCTAATTTACTACAAATAGTTTACTGAGCTGCTTATGTCTGGTTAAGAGGTGTGGGCACGTGCATAGGCCAAGACACATAGTTTCCACCTAGCATTTGAGCATAGGACATTATCTTCATTAAAGTAACTTTCCATTCTTCTCCCACTTCTCAGGGATTTGATGGAATCATTCCTCTCTTTCTCCTCCCCAAATCTCACTCAGTCATGCCTTCCAGAGCTCTCATCCCAGTTAGTTTATAATTATTATTCGAGAATTAATATTCACCAGTTTAACTCAACTATGCCTCTGGGCCAGAGTTAGCTTCATAAGTCTGTTCACTTCTGCATCCATGCTCTTGATGTTCTTCCCCTTTGGAATTAGCTGTAATTCATCCTCATTATCCCTTTTTCCCCTTGTACCTAGGCCAATCCAAACCAGAAGTCATCAGTCTTTAGAATGAAGTGCTATCTCTCACCAATCAAGGGTTAGAGAGGAGGAAGAAAAAACAGCTGGCATAGGTCTAGTTAGCCACCAGCTGCATTATCAAGCCCATATCCTTAGCCTCAGTCAGTTCTATGCGCAGGCCTACATCGTTCCAGCACTTAGCCAAATTTAACTCTTGGCTACAATAACATATTAGAAACTTCAATGAATTTACAATGAAGTAGGAGTTTTGTGAATATAGAAATTTCTAAAACAGGAAAATATGTTTCTCATTCTAATGTATTAATTTTGTTGATGAGGATATTCTTATAAAAATTTTCTTGGACAGCTGGATTCCTCTTCTTGCTGGAAACACCACTCTTCTGCCCTGTTCATCCACTCTCACAGTACTCAGGACCTCAAACAGAGGGACCCAGTGCTGGTGGAGTTACTCAAATGACAGCATCTCTCCTGGTAGCTGGAGTGTGGGCACACTATGAGGATGGGGCATGTAGCCACAAAATTAGCTTGATGAGAGGACAGAGCTCAGCAGTTACAGTCACCATCTCAGAACATTAGAGCTAAAAGAGATCTTAGGGGTCGCCAAATTCAACCTGGTCATTTGTGAGATGAGGAAACTATGGTCTGTAGCAAGGTAGGGGTTTCTTGGTTTGATTCTGTGCACTGGTTCCTTTTCAAGAAATTTGCACTTGTCTAAAGCCCACATTGTACCTTTCAGCTGAACTGCCATTTTTGAAAGCGTATTACACATACTATTAATACTCTTCAGGCTGAATCTTATAAGGACAGAGTCCACTTTATCCACGTAAGACTGAATAAGTATTGAAAATGAATAACCTTCTTAGCCCTGCTGATAGATGGTGATTCAACACTGTGGAGTACATTTTTGTTGTTGTTAGAATAGATCATCTCTTCCAGCTCTAAAAATAAAAATCAGATTCAGACTCTGAATAAGCTCCTTAATTTAAAAAACAAACAAAACCTTGAGTTTTTCACATGGTCTCATTCCTTCAACACCTACCTAAGCTCTGTCTGTATTTTATGACTGCATATTTCCACTCTTATAAGTTCTTTATACATTTCTTAAAACAGTTAAGTTCAAGGGGAATCATTTTATTTTTTTACACCCAAACAGTGGCTCCTGATGATCCTAGCAGAAAAATAGATGGTGATACCATTCTCTTTTCTGATGTTCAAGAAAGTTCCAGTGCTGTTTATCAATGCAATGCTTCAAATGAATATGGATACTTGCTGGCAAATGCATTTGTGAACGTTTTGGGTAAGGTGTTTCCTCATAGTTCATGAGTAGGGTGAATAAGCATTTGTATAGTGCCTATTATGTGCCAGGCTATGCTAATCTCTTTACAAATATTATCTCATTTGATTCTCACAAGGGGGGGGGGGTGGTTAGGTGCTGTTATTATCCTCATTTTACAGTTGAGGAAACTGAAGTAGACAGAGGTTAAGTGACTTGCCCAGGGTCAATCCAATGTAATAAACATTTATTAAGTACCTACTATATGCTGGGCATTATGCTAAGGCAGGGAAACAATTAATAAGAAGAAAGACAGCCCCTGCCTTCAAGGAGCTTACAATCTAAAAAGGCAGACAACACACAAAAGGAGGCAGAAAAGTAAGTTTGGGGTGCCAGCAGTGGGTTTCTTGTTCTGTGGAGTTGAAAGCAAGCAGAGCAGCAGACGTAAAGTGGAGTAAGCTGAGTCTCCTTTCTGCCCTCTCTAAAGGAAGGCATTAGAAGGAGTTTGGTGCTCCATCTGCCAATTGGACAGGGGAAGAAGCTGAGTGAGTTTGTGTCAATCAAGGCTTGAGTTAGCAGCATGATAGTGAGTTTAGAAGTGATAAATTTATCCTGGGAGGAGCATTTTGTTCTATAGAGATGAAACTAGGCAGTGCGGAAGATACAAAGCAGAGTATGTGTCTGAGGCCAGGTTTGAACTCAGTTCTTCCTAATTCCAGATTCAGCACTCTACCCTCTACATCACCTGCCTGCCTGAGTAACTATCTATTTAATTCATAATTGCTGTTCTTTCTCTTTCACTCATATCTCTTAGGACTTTATTTTTTTAAATAAGAACAGGTTAACCCAACATTTTAAAAAAGTATTTTTAAAAGTCCTCTTATTAGTTGATTGATAGGTTGACTCCTTGGTCTATGGAAAAGAAAAATAACATAAGATTGAGTAGTAATTTTAAAATCCAGATTTTACTATAATTTCTGCCCCCAGGCTTGGCAAATTTTTTAATTATCCTATTCTTCCAGTTCTTAATCTGTAAAATGGGACTCATATCCTTGACCTTTACTTAATTCATGAATATATTAAAAAATATATATTCTTTATTTGTGGTAAAATGTTTAGATAACTAAGAAAGAAATGTGTATATATAGATATTTAATGAGATCTCTATTTCATCCATTTCTGTATCTGATGTTCTAGGAAAGCAATTAGCTTATTTCTAATATTCAAATTACCCAAATAGCAATATTTTTTACTTATTTTCTGTAGAAATTGTCTCATAATAACAGAAGATTTTTTTTCTTTAACTACCTAAGGTAGGTGTGTCCCTTTTCAAAACAAAAACAAAAATCAGGAAGTTTTGCCAGCATTTGAGATACTTTACAATAGGGGTGCTTAACCTGAAGTCCATGAACTGTTTTATTTAAATATAAATTTTGACAGTTGAATTTCAATATAATTAGTTTCCTTTGTAATACTGTGTATTTTATGTGTTTAAGAAGGGGTCCATTGACTTCATCAGAATCCCCAGAAGGGTCCACGACCCTTTAGAAATGCTTTAGAAATAAAGAATTAAACATTTAACTCAGGAAAGATAGCTAAGCCCCGAAAGTCTTAGTGAAAGTGTTGGAAACCAGGACATATTGTCATCTTAATGTCCTTTGTGCTAATTTCTCAATAAACATAGAATATATGGAGAACTCCGCTCTTTTCCAAGCTAACCTGCCAACCTGTAACAGAGCCAGTACTAAGATGGCAGGATTTAACATGAAGCCGTGCAAGAAAATAAAAACAGATACTAGGGATGACTATATTTTTGAGTCTTAAATGCGTCTCTTCATTTTTTCCTATTTTAGCTGAACCACCACGGATACTTACTGAAGCAAATTTGCGTTATCAGGTCATTACAGACAGGCCTGCTATGTTAGATTGTGCTTTCTTTGGTTCTCCCATTCCTACCATCGAATGGTAAGGAACAGTACCTATTTTTAAAAAGTTAAGACCTATTTTCCTTTATTTTTCTTTTTTTTATCTTTTTTCCTCTTTTTATTAGTTTGTAATGAAAAAAGAATGTTTTATTAACATACAAACCAACCTTTAGCACAAAATGAAAAGAATGTAATAAAGAGAGAGATTAATAGCTTGTAAAAATAGCCATATTAATAATCTTAATGCCGTGGGTATGTTTTTGGGTGCAAAGCTTCTCAAAATGTGTTGTTCTTAATCTTTCGAAAGCTTTCATAGATTGTATTGCCTCACTTACAAATATGTTGTCCTGTTATTCAAAAAATAAAGAGGATAAAAAAAAACTAATGCTGAATTTTATCCCGTTACTGTGTATAAGATAAGAAAATGGCCAGCTGTGTAGTCAAAACAAAAGATAATCAAACGGACAGTTCTTAAGTTCCATTGGTTTCTTCACAGTGACAAGAAAATGAGGGGAAAGCCCACAGCACATTGGATATACACCTTGTGGTAAACTTCTTAGACTACTGGCTAAATTGTATAGGATAGGAAGATTATCCTGAATGTGTTGTGACCTTTTCTCCTGTAAACGAGTGAGCTCTCCCATTCAATGGAGTGCTACATGTGGCCAACCCCTTGGAAGTAGCCTGGGACTTTTTTGAATAGAGGGGAGAGGCACTGGTAAAGGAAGCAATTGTTTCCTGAACAAAGATTTGACTATTTAAAAATAGTGTTGTCTTCACAAATGTCCTCTTCTAATGCTTGATTATGACATGGAGGTAATCTTGGGATCCCAAAGGCTAAGCCAATAGACTGATACTTCTAACAGAAAGCTAGAAATGTTTTGATTAATATCCTAGACACACACTGCGTCTGCTGTCTGAGTACCCGCCTAGCTAAAACCAAAACAAGCTTCATTACCATTGGGGGTGGTGTTGTGGTACAGTGGAAGGAGCACCAGCTCTGTAGTCAGAGAACCTGGTTTCTAGTCTCACCTCACATATTTATTCCCTGTGTGACCTTGGGTGAGTGAATTAACCTCCCTGGGCCTCCGGTTCCTCATCTATAAAATGAAGGTGTTGGCTTAGATGGCCTCCTGGGTCCTTTCCAGTTCCAGATCTATGATCTTCTAACCAAAAGGTTGGTCGCTAAGGACAAATTCTTAGAGCATGACCACTCATGAAAAAAGGGCAGTGAAGAGTTGGAGGAGAGAAGGTACCCACCCAGGAGAGGCAAGGCAGCAAAGTCTGAACAGTCAGAATCACAGCTGGGAGGGGAATGAAGCATGGCCAGAATGGGCCCATCCCAATGATGTAGGCCTAGAAAGGAATGCACTAATTGGAAAAGATGGTCCTAGCAGGTAGTTGGGCCTCCTGCCCCAAGCTGTCATCTTTGCAGGGTCATCCAGCAGATTCTGGCTACACCATGGGTGTCACCCACTCTCACCAGGATGTTCATAGGAAACTATTCCCTTAAGAACCAATGAATGGACCTCTACTACATGCTTTCTAGCTCTGGGCTCCTTTCCTTATTGTCAGTGTCATTATCTGAGGAAGAAAGATTTGAGGGAGTTGACGAAGAGGGCAAATATGATATTGAGTTAGGGGTGGAGAGTAGGGGGTGGGGGAGAAGTCATCATATAGAGGCAGCTAGATGGCTCAGTCGATAGAGTGCTGGGCCTGAAGTCAGGAAGACCTGAATTCAAATTCAGCCTCAGACTCTTGCTAGCTGTGTGACCCTGGGCAAGTCACTTAACTTCTGTTTGCTTTCATCTAGTAGACAAGGAAATGGCAAACCACTCCAGTATCGTTGCCAAGAAAAACCCATGGACAGTATGGGTGTACTATGGTCTCACTCTACAGGGTCACAAAGAATCAGATGTGACCAAATAACTGAACAACAACAGGCATCGTTTAGAGCTGGAAAGGACATTGGGAATTGTTTATATCAGTAGAGTCACTTAAATAAAAGCAGATCCCTGTGGGCTACATAGTGACTTAGAAAAAACAAAAATTAACAGTAATAATTATAATAGTAATAATGATGATTCCAGCTAACATTTGCACAGCATTTATTATGTGCCAGGCACTGTGCTAAGTGCTTTACAATTATTATCTCATTTGATCCTCGTAACAACCCTGGGAGGTAAATGTTATTATTATCCCCACTTACAGATGAAGAAACTGAGGCAAACAGAGGTTAGTGACTTGCCCAGGGTCACACAGCTAGTATTGGTAATAATAATAACTGATATTTATATAGCACTCACTATATTCTAAAGGCACATATATAGGCACAGCTAGGCTGAGGCCACATTTGAACTCTTTTGAACTAGCTGCCCATTACCATTATCCATATTATATTGTATTTTTATTTATTTTGTTAAACATTTCCTGATTATATTTTAATCTAGTTTGAGGCATGAGCAGTAGCTGGTTCTGAGTTTATCACTTCTGAATTAGATAAACCCCTTCGTTTTATACTTGAGAAAATTGAGACCAGCAAAGAAAGATGTCTCATCCAAGGACAAACACGTAGTAAGTAGCAAAACTGAGATTCAAACCCAGATCTGCTGATTCCAAATCCATCGCTTTTCCCACTGGACCACACCGCCCACAGCTGCCCAACAATAGAATAGGCTGCCTTATGAGATAGTAAGCCCCCATCGGTTATGCTGTAGAAATAATGCAGTAACATCGAATGCGAAGATGGACTAGATTAAACTCTAAAATTCTTTTCCCCTCTAAGATTCTATGGCTGTGATCTTTCACTCTCCCACATGCTTTCTACTTCCTCCTTTAACTATTTACATTTACAGCCTCATATGCTCATAATCAATACTGTCGCCACCATTTTCCCCTGAATATTTTGGCCTAAATAAAGGCAGAGAGGAGAGTGAGAGCAGTTGTTCCAGAAAGGGAAGGAACAGAATAACTAGATTGGGGCATACAGAGGTCTACTACACAATAGAAATTGGAAATAGTGGGCTCCCCAATGAATATAATTATGACACTACTGCCACATCTATGGTCACCCTGCCTAGTTCTCCTTTTCATTTATCCATATCATCTCTTCAAGGCAGCCACAACCCTGGGATCTGAAAGAATACAACATACCACTTCCTGTCATTAATATTGCCTCACCATCCATGCCGTCCCGTGCATCCTTTCTATCTGTCTTGTAGTTAAAATCTCCTAGTTACCTTGTTCCTAGCAGGGGAAGTTATGTGTTAAACTAGAGTTCCCATTTTCTTTTAGAAACTGAGGGGAAATAACCCTTCAGGGAGAGCCGTTTTCATTTTGCCAGCTTTATAGCATTTTAAAATTATTGCTAACATGCCCATGGTTATTTTTTTTAAATGCACCTAACTGCACATACAGTCAAGCTGTCTAATGTACTCACTTTTTTTTTCAGGGCTTATTTAATTTTACCTGTGGCACATGTAGACTTTTATGCATAAAGAACCATGAATGCTCCTAGGCATTGTAATTACGCCCAGCTCCACAATTAACACTTAAATGCAGATAATGTTTGCCTTGACCTTTAAAAACAGAGCATTATGTGTCTGAGTTTAAATGAATGTTAAATATTTTCTCTTCATATTCTTTTTGCTACATAGGTTTAAGGGAACAAAAGGAAGTGTTCTCCAGGAGAACACATATGTGTTCCATGACAATGGAACTTTGGAAATTCCCATGGCTCAGAAAGACAGTGCAGGCACATACACATGTGTAGTAAGGAACAAGTTAGGGATGGCGAAAAATGATGTTCATCTAGAAATCAAAGGTAAGCCAGACGGCCTTGGATTTTAAATGGCGTGTGTCATCGAGCAAGTTTCCTACTTTTTCAAATGGTTAAAAATAACTTTATAAATTTCAGATCCCACCAGAATCATTAAACAGCCTGAATACAAAGTTGTGCAAAGAGGTGGCAAAGTTTCCTTTGAATGCAAAGTGAAACATGATCCAACTTTAATAGCTACTCTCACTTGGCTGAAGGATGATGGTGAGCTGCCAAATGATGGAAGGTATTTGCAAAAGATTTTTTTCTCATGATTTTCCAATTCACTTTCTGTTCTCTTTTGTCCCATGCTCTTAAAACTAGCTATTGACTTTTGTGTAGTCTGTGGATCTCTTATTCAGTTTAAGATGGGGCAGGGGTAGAATCTTTAAGTTCTGGATATTGATCTACATTTTTTGTATCTCATCAACAGCATGGAAGTCTACATAAATGTTTTTATGATAATTATAATCAGAGAATAGAGTACTTGAAATTACCATAGGACTTCCAAATCCTCACCAGAAATTTCAAAGGATACATGGTTTTTTATTTGAGGCAGAGGTGGCTACCTGGATAGAGTGCTGGAGCTAGAGTCAGGAAGACCTGAGTTCAAATCCATCCTCAGACATTTCCTAGTTGTATGACTCTGAGCAATTCACTCTGTATGCCTCAGTTTGCTCATGTGCAAAATGGGTTTAAAAGAGTACCTACCTCCCAAAGTTGTTGTGTGGATAAAATGAAATAGTATTTGTAAAGCAATTTGGAAACATTAAAGAACTATATAAATGCTAGCAATCGTCATCATTAATGGCACACAGAGGAAGGTAATAAGCCAGGGTCTGATGTCACATGTTATACTATCTACCTATCTGTCTGTCTGTCTGTCTGTCTGTCTGTCTGTCTGTCTATCTATCTATCTAACTATCTATCATATATACATGTGATGTCCTTAACAAGTTAATGGTGAAGAGAAGGCTCCCTGTGGGACAGTTATTCTGTTCATTAAAAACTTTTTCATTTTGTGTAAGTACCATTGCCCTCTTCTGGGTGGAATGTTGCCTCCCTTTTAGACAACTTCAGAAAATGTAAACCTGTGTTCCTTGAATGAGACCTGATAACACCTATACTTGTTCTTAGTCAAAAGGCAGAGAAGCTCCTAATTCTGAGATGCTTTTGAGCCTGGGTGCCCTGCCTGGCTCTTTCTGTGTCTTAGTGTCCCTCCCTCTCTCTCCCTCAATTTTTTGTGTAAGAAATCTAGTCAGTGATTGAAGAAAAAAAAAATAAATGATTTAAATGTTTGAAAAAGACAACTCTAGTTAAATGTGAAAAAAATTTAACTTCAAAACAGTTTAAGTACATATGTGCATATGCCATTGTTTTCAAACCAAACAGAAATTCTAAGAAAATATTTAGCATACTTGGCTCAAACTCTTGGGGAAACTAGTTGTTGCCACTGATGTAAACTTATATTTCCATCCCTCTTGTTGATAAACCAGGTTTTCTTTTCTTTTCTCACTTTTTTCCCTTGGGGGAATATGCACATCTTGACTATCACTCAAGATAGGTATAGTAAATAACAAGTTCTTAGTTGACAAGCATTTAGTAAGCACCCACTATGTGCTAAGCACTGTATTAGGCACTAGATATAAACTTACAAAGGTGAAGCCATATAACCATGTTTATATATCTGTTTTGTAAGTTTTGATTTTTGTTTATCAGGGGCTCTGCAATTGATCCATACTCTAGAACTGCATAATTAAGATCATGGGCATAGAGCCATCTTTGAAAAAAAATGCAAAAATGATTGCTATAAAAACTACAATGTTACTATAATGTGGAAACATCATTTTTCTGTGTTGATAGTGGCAAGGTATTTCTGCAGAGCTAAGAATGTACCTATAAATAATAATGAAATATGTACAGTGAATGAGCTTTGGGATTACTCTGAATCTTTTCCATTTGTAGATTCAGTGTCGATAACGACCATCTGGTTATAATGAACATAAGTGATGAAGATGATGCAACCTACACTTGTGTAGCAAATACATCTCTGGACATTGTTTCTGCAAGTGCTGTGCTTAGAGTTGTTGGTAAGAAGACAGTCAAACGCTTAACAAATATAAGACAACTTATGCATAAAGTTTCTGAGCAAAGAATGGAAAAATTGTGAATCTTTACCTCAATTTTATTTTAGGAATAGCATAATAATACAACTAAGAACTAATTGTCTTATTTTTCGTTGAGATTATGTCTATAATACAAATAAACTTAGCAACTAGTAGTGTACATACATAGTGAGTAACTAGTAATAGTTTAGTGAGCAAATAGGGAGATGATGGAATGATTTTTTAAAAAAATCAATTTTTTCTACATTGCTGCTGTGTGATTATTAGTGCCATATTTCCATAAGTAAACTTCATTTCATAATTTCTATACTATACAGTCTCTGCTTGTAAAATCTTGTATCTTTCTATTACTAACTTTGAAAAAAATTCTTTTATATTAATGTCCTTCTGGCTCCTTCTCCAACTCCAGCTCCTGTTTACGGTAAACTAATTCAAATCTTTTTCTGTCTTATCTTCAACATACTTCACATCTCCAAATCAATATTTTTTTTTCCATTATATGCCACTTACTGATTGTTTGTCTTTAAGGAGAAATACGTCAAATTTTTATTTTGCTGGTCATTTACTACCATAAGTAGTTTCTTCATTTTAACATTGGAGTTTCTTTTACTCAGCATGGCATCATTCATTTCTAAAAATTTTATGGATGATTGAATAATCAATTCATTTGATACAATTTATGTAATTTGACAAGAACATTATAAAAATGATACATTACTTTAAAAAGTTATTATTTATATTTGCAGAGTGAAAAAAACTATTTAAGATGTGTAACTCCACAAATTATTTTTCATTTCGGTTCTTTAAGGGTTATGTCTGGTTTCTATTTCTGGAAAATTGTACCCTCCCCCCAAAAAAAGAGCATCAAAAGAGATTCATTGACATCATTCTTGCATTGCTGATACAGAGTTAGCTTGATTTATGTTCATGTGATACAAATCACTAAAGAATGACAAATAATAATGCATTTATGACATGTGATTTTTCTGACACCTGGAAATGAAATCAGAAATGACTTTCTAGATTATTTTCCATTTATCAATGCTGCTTTTTTATTTAGCACTTGAATAGCAAATCTAATTTTGTACAGAGTCCCTTGGATTTTAAGTTCAGTCATATGTAATATGGTAGTGGGGTTTTAATTTGTTAGTATCTTTTGTTTCTGCTTCTGCATGAATAAACAAGTTAAAAAAGATATCTTTGCGGGCTTTTTTTTTTAATCTCCAAGGTCAAAGTCATTCCCTTAGGTGGGTATTCAGGATGGCACACTAATTCTATGGAACACTAAAGGACCATTTTCCATGGTATTGCCTGGGAGTTGTGGGAATCTGGTAGAGAGGATATTTTGTAACATAATGATTATAATAAAGTATATTTTGGTGTCATACAAGGGTAACTGTACCTCCCCAAGTCCCTAACCCACTGCAGTTACTAGGCAATGACTTAAAGCATCTGGCTTAAATATGCATGCTGAAATTAGTAAATTCCATTGTATTTGTCAGACTTCATTTCTAGAAGTTGTTTTTCTTTGTTTTTCATTTGATAGAATGAAGGTTTGATTTCTTGTACAAACTTCCATTTGTGTTTATGAGAAACTCACAAACTGAAAATGGTGGTCTGTACATTTCAGCTTCCATTTTTAAAATTATAAATGATTGATCTTCACTTGAGAAACAAACAAGTGGAACTCAGCAATATTAATTCAATGGAAGTTTTCATCTGTGGCTTGTGTCTCAAGAAACCTCAGTTATTTCCATTTCATTTCAGTAGCATATCACGTTAAGACTGAATTGTGATATGTCTGTAAGATTTCCTTCCATCCTATTCCTCTCCGAATGGTAGAGTGAATAACTGGTGGGTCTCCTTTACTAAGATTATCGATCATAATGAATGTGTTTGACCTGCAGATCGTCCAAATCCGCCCTTTGATTTGGAATTGACAAGTCTTCTTGAAAGAAGTGTTCAACTGTCATGGATACCAGGAGATGAAAACAATAGCCCTATTACAGGTGTGTTCAGCCATTTCCTGTATAGCAATTATTCTTAGACTGATTTTTTTTCCAACTTCTGAAGCACTTTGGATTTGTGCAACGTAATTTCCCATCAGGGATCTGTGCTGTCTGTCACTTGACTGAACCACCAAACTGATCTACCTACCAGACCTTTCTGTTAATGGTGGAGTGTTTTCAGTTATAGGGTGCTTTTATGCTTTTTCTTTGTTGGGCAATGGGGGTTAAGTGACTTGCCCAGGGTCACACAGCTATTTAGTGTTATGTGTCTGAGGCCGGATTTGAACTCTGGTCTTCCTGAATCCAGGGCCAGTGCTCTATCCACTGCACCACCTAGCTGCCCCCCAAGCATAGTTATATCTCATTTCATTGGAACCTCATGACAGCTCTCTGAGGTAGGTAAAACAGATATTCTTGGGATAAGGAAATATCCTTGAGAACAAGGACCACTACTTTTTTTCTTTTTTTTTTAATCCCCAAATATTCCTTGTACATAATAGGAACTTAATAAAGGTTCATTGAATTGAACTGAAGCCAAGTAGTTAAAGTGATGCTGCTAGGCCAATCAATCAATCAGTTAAGCATCTGTGGTGTTCCAGGTACTGCACTAGGTGCTAGGGATACAAAAATCTAAATGAAAAGTCCCTGCCCTAGTAACTCACAGTCTGGCTAGGACAATATGTACACATATTTGTTGTTGTCATTGAATCATTTCAGTCATGTCTGGCTCTCCATGCCCCCATTTGGGATTTTCTTGGCAAAGATACTGGAGCATTTTTCCATTTCCTTCCTCAGCTCATTTTATAAATGAGGAACTGAGTCAAACAGGGTTAAGTCACTTGCCCAGAATCAGACATTTAATAAGTGTCTGAGGCCAGATTTGAAGTCATGCAGATGGGTCTTCCTGACTCTAAGCCCAGCTCTCTCTCCACTGTGCCACCTAGCTGCCCTACGTACATATACAGATACATACAAAATAGATAAAAGTTTATGAGGTAGGAAGGCAGAGAGTTAATGCACTAATAGCAGCAGGGAATCAGGACAGGCCACTGTGGAACTGCAGATGGTCCTTAAAGGAAACTAGAAATTCTGAGAGCCGGAGGTGTGGAGGGAGTATATTCCAGGCATGGGAGATAGTCACTGCAAAAGCAGGAAATGAAGTGCCTTTTATGAGGAACATCTAGAAGGCCTATTTGACTAGGTAATACAGTTAGTGATAGATCCAGGAGTATAACTGATCTCTTAACTCCCAGCCCAGAGCTCTTTCTAATAGGCCATACCACAGTGGAATATAATTAATTTAGCTTTATGAATTAACCTGAGCCCAGAGAATTAATCTGATTAGGGTAAAGCCTTAAAGAAATTTTACTGTTGCCAAACGAAGACATTTAAAGAAAATTTGAAAGCATTCCCCAGTGCACAAATATTATGTGTCTTTACATTATCACTATTAAGAACAGTACCTTTGATACTTTCCTGTCTCCTCTAGGAATGGATCCTTTCAGCTATCCTCTCCCTCACTCTAATTTGCAACCTCTCTTTATCAGGTGACTTCTTAACAACTGCCTTCAAACATGCCCAGATTTCCCCCATCCTATAAAAATTCAAAAAACCTACAGTTGACTCTACCAGCCTTTTAAGCTATGGTGCTGTAATTTCTCCCTTCACAGCCAAACCATAGAGAAAGCTATCTGTGCTCTGAAGTCCCAAGTGATTTTACTATTATTCAATAGTTTTCTTTTTCTTCTTTGAATTGTCAACATTCTTCATCAACTAGCTGTGTTATACATTACTGCTAATTAAATCAATCAGCTAGATTTAATCATTTGTTTAGAGTAATTTGGCAGTTTTTCACATTTAAAAGCTATCATTAGATGGTAAAGTTCTGTTTGCCTTACAGTTTTGTGGATGTCATTATACTTTACTCTCATGAAATAGCCTTCTATTAACAAAAATGATATCTTTGAGAAGAAATCTTTCATCAACATAATAATTGATGTACCCTGAATTCATAGGCCCTGGTTTCCTGATTAACGACAGTCCATGGAAACCAACTGTTAAGGAGTCATTCTATTTAAAATGAGATTTTGGGAATGCAAACTGTTGCATTTTGTTGAAATATGTGGATACTGAAGGGGAATGTATGTATTAATGAAGTATATGCCAAAATGTGGCAACGTTTATTTTTCTATCTGCTGCTTTACCCCAGTCTGTTGTCATTTGAACTATTTTAATGAATTTTATTAGAATGCAATTCAGTTGCTAATTTAATAGCATAAAGATAGCAATAGAAATATTAAAGCATGCTAGTTGATGTCTTTTAAATGTTAGTGAAAGAAGCTTCTATGAATTAGTCAAATATTTAAATATACTACATATAACATTTCAATAGTCAAAGGACCTGAACTTCATCACTGTGGACTCCATTCTTACATAGTTTACAACCCTTCAACTCCTTTATCAGATGGTCTTCACAAGTTACTGTGGCCAAAACATTTTGTTACCTGCTTGCCAAACTTCTGATGATGAGTTTCTCTGGACTTGGGCTAGTGCTCAGATGCCTGGCATGAAGTCTGGTGCTTTGTCCATAAAGCTAGTCATTCTTTGAAGTCATAGTTATGTGGAATAGAGTAATTGGTACTAGTCCATTGTAAATATGCGATGCAAATTCAAATCGCACGGCCATTTTGTGGGAGTCCTTATTCATGCTAATCAGGACCTGACTCTATTTGAAAGTTTTCCAGCTTGGTGGACTACAAGAGCTGGCATTCTGCTGACAAAGCCTTTAAGAATCTAAAACTTCTCCACGCCACAAAGAGCCGTGTGAGGAGAGTGCCCCAAAAACAAACATATAGACTAGGAGAGTGTTATTTGTCATCCTAGTAGTTGTTAAGAGTTCTGTCCAGGTGAGAGACAGAATTTCCTTGCTATGTGTACAACAAAAGGAAGTGTCGCCAAGTGGATAAAGACCAACCTTAGAGTCAAGAGGACCTGGGTTTAAGTCCTACCTCTGACACTTCCTGATTGACCCTTGAGCAAATCACTTAATCTCTCAATGTTCCAGGCAACTCTCTAAGTCTTTAAGTTACAGGCAAGTTGCCATTCTTTGTTGGTAGAGGAAGCTTGTATACTAGGAGTTCTCCATATTGGTGAAATCACAGGTCCAGAACCCCCCCCCAAAAAAAAGAACAAGAAAAAAAAACCACCCTACACAAATTGTAAGATGTATTCTGAGTAGCTTGTTCATTCTTGTCTTTATATCATAGTAACAATACCATATGGCAGATAGATAATGAGGATAACTGACTGAAGAGGTACAGAGATCACTGAACTTAGGAAGGCTGGCTTCTGGCATCAGTCCTACTATCAATTAGCTTGTGTGACCCAATGCAAATCAAGACACTTAACATCTCTGTGTCTCCACTTCTTCATGAATAAAATGAGGATGGTGCTTCCAGCTCTGAAGCCAATCATTCTATAATCCTATAGATTCAATATGCCTTAATTAAGTGCATAATGTGTGCAGACAACTGCACTAAGTACTGAAGGAGATACATGATTTAAATAAGACTAAGACCCTGTCCTCATCAAAATTACAGTCTAGTAAATTGTTTGAGGAGCCTTTCAGATCTAAAATTTTTAATTCTATGATTAGGATTTTTAAAGTATAATGGGATTTTTTAGTTTTGGTTTAATCTTCAAAGTCAAGTTATCAGGTGATTGGTGGGGGCAGAGGGGACAAACCAGGAGATGAAAATAATGGCTAGAGAGAGAAAGAGAAGTAGATAAGAGCAGGGGCACTACTGAACATTTCTCTATCTCTCTTTCTTCCTCCCTTCTCTGTCTCTCCCTCTTCTCCCTCTCTCCTCTTTCTCCCGTTTCCCCCTGCCCATTCAAAGCAATGTAGACTTGCCCTGAAGGGTCCCCCCCCCACCCACTTGCAAGATAACTCTTATCTAGGAGAACAAGTCAAAACTATCATCTCAAGATGCTAAACTATCCTTAAAAATATACTTGCCCTTGGAATCTTTACCAGTTGCCCCAGAGGGTGGGGCTAGGCAGCATTAAGGCAAAACATTTATTACTATTTTTCCAGAACTGTTTAATACTTCTAAGTCACAGCAACACACACACACACACACACACACATACATTTAACATTTTCTGGAGATTTCCTGATCAATTCCACACCTTTTTTAATTTGCTAAACCTCATATAGATTGGGACGTTTAAATATTGATAATAATGGTTGCAATAGGAAGTAGTAGCTATTTAAATGAGAATTTTCTTCAAAGTTAGGTAATTCATATTACCAGACAGATCAAATTATAAAACTTATGTAAAGCACTTTGTAAGTCATAAAACCTTATTAAAATGTCAGCTATCATTAACATTATTAGACTAGCCCATTCATTTTTTCATCCTTGGCAACCAGGTCTCTTCTGTGGGTGAAATTCACTGCGGATTTTTTTGTTTGTTTTTTGTTTTTGCTAGATTTCATCATTGAATACGAAGATGCCTTGCATGAGCCAGGCATATGGCATCACCAGACTGATGTTCCTGGAACACAGACAACAGTAGAGTTGAAACTTTCTCCTTACGTAAAATATTCTTTCCGTGTAATTGCTGTCAACAGTATTGGTAGAAGTCTGCCCAGTGAAGCATCGGAATATTATATGACAAAAGCAGCAGGTAAATTAATGATTCTATTTTTTAAGAGGAATTGCCTGTTCAAAAGCCAAAAGTCCAGATGAGGGCATCCTCACGTATTACTATTTAACTTCTAGAACCAGAAGAGAATCCCACCGCTGTTGAAGGAATAGGATCAGAGCCTGATAATTTGGTGATTACATGGCAGGTGAGCTGATTAGCCAAACAACTTCATTTTTTAAAATAAATTTTATTGACATATTCTGTTTTTACATCACCTAAATCTCCCATTTGACCCCTTAAAAATATATTTGCCATTTGGAATCTTTAGCAATGGTCCCAGAGGGTGGGGCAAGGCAGCATTAAGGCAAAGCATTTATTACCTATTTTTCCAGAACTGTACCCTTACCCCTCCCAGAGAACTATCTTTTGTAACAAAGAATTATTTGAAAAGGAAAGAAAAAGTGAAAGGGAGAAAAGTCAGCAAAGCCAATCAATACATTGAAAATATATGACAATGTATAAAATATTCACCACCCATGGACTCTACCAACATTGCACAGGAGCAGAGGATAGTGTCTTCCCATGTGTCTTCTTTAGCACTTTCATTTTTAAAATGTAGTAACAGTCATTTGCTATATGCTCATGGGAACATTACACCATTTCTGTGAATTTCAGTTTTCTCACCCCTAATATTTAAAATACACACCTCACATAGTGTAAGCAAAGTACCTTGTAAACTTTAATGTTATATAAATGTAATCCTTGATGATTATGTTTACCAAATGATGGGTCAAATCAACAAGAAATATGTTTGACTTCTCAAAATAAAATGTAACAAGTCAATTTTCTCATCTGAGTGTGAGGGATTTACTTAGATTGCCAAGGTCCCTTGCAACTATAAATTCTGTGATCCCAAATCCACCTTAACCATAACCCTTCTATAATGAAATAGAGATGACACAAGTTAGCATTTGAATGAAGTAACATATATAAAGAGTGTGGTCTGTGCTGGTTTGGATAGGACTCTGCATGCCTTGGGTAAGTAGATTGTAGGAACCAGCACCTGCACTGGGTACATCTCCAGTTGTCTTGATCTGTATCTGGCCACTGGACCCAGATAGTTCCAGAGGAGAGAGTGAGGCTGGTGGCACTCACCCCCGCACTTAAATCCAATTCACTTGCATGTCACGGCATCACCTCCCTGATGTCATGGTACTCTTTGAGAAGGACAAACAGCACGTACACAGGGTAGGTAGAAAGCTATCATCCCTGAGAGAATTAGTAAATTCATATACTCCATTCCCTGCCTCACTACCAACTAACTGTATAACCCTATTCAAAACATTTAACTTCTCTGGGTTCAATTTCCTCATCTGTTAAATTGAGGGAATTGGACTAGATCGGGGGTTCTTAACCTAGTCTGGTGAAGCTTGTGGACTCCTGCTCAGAATGATGTTTATAAATGCATAAAAACAAAATATATAGGATTACAAAGGAAACCAACTGCAGTGAAATGTACTTCAAAAAAAAAATTTAAGTCCCCAGACTTATGGAAGGGAACGCTGAAAACTAAAAATAAATTAATTAATTATTTAAAAATAAATAAATAAAATAAAGAATTCCTGGACTAAGAATTCCTGGACTAGATTGCCTTTTAAGGTCTCATGCAGTTGTAGCATTCTGCAACCCCACGAGTAAATGGGGAGGAAGGGGTGTGTGTGTGGGGGGGGGGGGAGTAAGGATTGTTAGTGAAACAGAGTTACTAAGTCAGGATGCAGAGCTAACTCTTCTTTCTCTATTACTCCTCTATTACTCCTTACTCTTTTGCATGTACCAATGTAGCTTAATTGTTCACGCCTCATTGAGGGGACATTGAGACCAAATCTCTGGTGGTCTAAGGTCCATTCATCTCACTGTTCATTTTATCTCCATCCCTTCCCAGATGTTTTCCCTATATTTATTATATTGTGACAAACAGTCTAACTTCTTTGAAACTCTGATCTCCAATAAACTTTGTTTTCCATCACTGTTAGAAAAGAAGACAGTTCCTTGAGAAATTGTTTCTAATGTTGATTTCAGTGTTTTCTGTATTTACTGATTTTATTTACATTTAGGAACTGAGTTTATGGTAAGAGTAAAATGTTAGTGTGGTATAATTGATGCAGTCTGACTTTTTAAGAAGTTTCTGCAAGTTAATACCACTTTACTTTGGTTTATTTCTTGTGGTTTGATTTTCATGTTGTTACTGGTTTGTGGTTTGTTTGGGTTTTTTTCTGTAGCCCTTAAAAGGTTTTGATTCTAACGGACCTGGTCTTCAGTATAAAGTCAGCTGGCGCCAGAAAGATGGTGACGATGAGTGGACATCTGTTGTAGTTGCAAATGTATCCAAGTACATCGTATCAGGCACACCAACCTTTGTTCCATATCTGGTGAAAGTACAGGCACTCAATGATGTGGGATTTGCTCCAGAGCCTGTGATAATCGTTGGGCATTCTGGAGAAGACTGTGAGTGTCTTGTTCTTTTTCATTTATGCTCTTTTTTGGAGACTGGATCCTTGGAAGTGCAGGGATTACCAGTGTTGGTCAATATTGAAGCTTCAACCTACTTTATTTTTCCAACCTGGGCCAGTTGTTAAAGCCTGAGGGCCCACTACTTCTGTGGGGCTTGCCATTTTAGTGCTGGACTTCATACAGACATCTGCTCAGTACCTGAGTTCTGCAGTTCAGAAACCCCACACTCAAGTGATCCGCCAGCCTCAACCTCCCCCAGTAACAGGGATTGCAGGTGTGCTTCACTATGACTGGCATTTTTATGCTCTTCAGAAAAAAATAAGTATGGCTGCCACTCAGTCATGCAGTGTCTGAGAGTCATTAGAGGGGAGGGAAGAGGCCAACATTTCATGGCAATGAAATTATTTCTATGGGCAATGCTTGGAAGAGAATTGCTTGGGGAGCCAGAATTTTAAAATATATTTGCTTAAGAAAAGTGTCCAGAATGCAAGAGTAGAATTATATTTTTTAAATGTTTTGTTCTGCTAAAGCAGTAACCAAATTAAGATATACTATCTTTCAGTCTCTGACAGCCTTTAGAAATGGACTATTAAAGTCCATCTCTAAACCAAGAATTTTGTAAATAAAACCCAGAGTAAATAATGTGATTACATGCTTGTAACTCCTGCTCCTTTCATTTTTCCAGTACCTATGGTGGCTCCCAGCAATGTGCATGTGAATGTGGTGAACAGCACTTTGGCTGAGGTGCACTGGGAGCCAGTACCCCCAAAAAGTATTCGAGGACACTTGAAAGGCTATCGGGCAAGTAAAGTTCCCCATTGTTTCCACCACTATCAATTTTTCTTTGTCTTTTAATCAAAGCTATGAGAAAGACAAGGCTTGCCATACTGAGCTAGGTCCACTTCGAGTGTCAGTTATGGCATCCTAAGTTTGGGGATGCTCAGAATTACTGAACTTGAAATCAGGAAGACCAGTGTTCCAATACAGTCTCAGACATTTACAGGCTTCATTGGTCAAGTCACTTAACATTTCTCAGCCTTAGTCTCCTCATCTATAAAATGGGGAAAATAATAGCACCCAATTCACAGGGCTATTGTAAGGATCAAATGAGATGATATATCCAAAGAGCTTTGCAAACTTGAAAGTACTATATAAATGTTAGTTATCAACTATTAGGAGTTTGAAAACTAGATTTGGTAGAGTCAATATAGAATATGTTAATATATTGGTATAGAATATATAATAGAATCAGTCTAGAAAAATCTATATTCAGATCTAGAAAATAGATTTAAGGATCTGATCCATTCTAGATGCTTTCAGTTATGACCCACACCTAAACAGTCTTAGGGGATAATCCAAGATAAGAATTTCTTAATGCCATACAATAAATAAAATATTTTTGATAAAATATCATATATCATATGATATATTACATATATCATATTATATATTACATATTCTTCTTGGCCTAAAAATAATCAAATATTCTGGAAATTAGCACACTACTATGTATGGATTACCAACTTTCAAAAAATGGTAATATGATAAAATGTACTTAATACTAAAACTAGAGAACCAAGGGAGTGGTAGACAGAGTGCCATTCTTGGAGTCAGGAAAACATGAGTTCAAGTGCCAGTTGTGACACAGAATTAGGAAGCCTGTGGACAAGCTATATGACCTTAACCTCTCAGTGGCCCAGGCAACTCTCCAGAACCATAAGTACGAAAAGCTGCCAATAAGAATGAGTAGAAATGTTCCACACCTGATAAAATCACAAGACGGGACAAAAGCTAACACACAATTTAGTCTTTCTTTGATAATTCAGGTGGCGCTTCAAGTCCTTACAGTACCTCAGGGTCTTTCTTATGAACAATGGTCATTGTTACACTGACAAACCATCCTGATTAATGGAGATTTAAGGGTGATAAAATGTCTAGTGACTGTTTTAACTCTACTTAACATTCTGTCTTGTTCATTCTGACTCCAGGAAATTATTTTTTTTAACTGTTATCATGCTCATTTTATTGAAAATTAAACATGACAAAATAATATGCACACAAGCAATGAGTTATCATTGGCACAGCCTAGTTAAGCCACAGGAATGCTGGAGAAAACAACAAGTAATGGTATGATATGCTGGATGACGTCCAAAGCCAAGTGGAATTTTTCTCACCTACATCATTTCCTACCATTCATTTTCTATATTATATCCTAAAATTAATTATAACCTGTACCCAATAAATAATTGTTGATTAATTGGTTTAATGCTAACTGATAGTTCTGGAGTAATTATGAAAAAAGTTCTTCTTTTCTATTTTGCTATTATGTTAAGGAAATAAAGCAAGCACAAAATATATTAAAACTGCCATAATCCATTTTTGATTCTCCCAAACATAAAATTAATGGGTAGTTAAAATTTACTCTATCATCATATTACCTTTTCTACAATCACTATATCCTTCTTTACCAATGATTTTGAGTTTAGTCATTATTATCCATTTCCTGGATGTACTGGAGCTGACTATTAGTTTTATGTCTGACTAACAAAATGTCTTTGTTCAGTCATTTTCAGTAGTGTCAGACTCTTCGTGTCTCCATTTGCGGTTTTCTTGGCAAACATACTGGAATGGTTTGCCATTTCCTTCTCCAGTTCATTTTACAGATAAGGAAACTAAGGCAAACAGGGTTATGTGACTTGCCCAGGGTTATACAGCTAGTAAGTATCTGAGGCTGGATTTGAACTCAGGAAGATGAATCTTCTGACTCTAGGCCTGGCACTGTATATACTGTAGGTATACCATTATATTATTTATAGCTAATTTGATTTTCCCAGTGATCTGTGGGCTTCAGATTCCTTTTGCTCATGGAGCCAGGAAGACAAGAGTTCAAAACCTATCTCAGACAATTATTAGCTGTGTGACCCTGGGCAAATCTCTTAAGCTCTCTCAGACTCAGTTTCCTTATCTGTAAAATGAGGAGGTTGAACCAGATGGCCTTTAAAGTCCCATCTAGCTGTAAATCTAGGAAGTAGGAATTTTCCTGAAAGAATATAAATTTGCTATGTTTGTTTGGCCCCAAACCCCTTAGAGTGTTCTCTCCTTCATATGTTGCTAACTTACTTTCTCTCATTTTAGATTTACTACTGGAAAGTGAAAAATTCATCTAAGAGGAACAGGCGCCATGTTGAGAAAAAAATCCTCACCTTCAATGGCAGCAAGACTCATGGCATGTTGCCAGGCTTGGAGCCGTTTAGCCATTACATACTGAATGTTCGAGTTGTCAATGGGAAAGGGGAGGGGCCTGCCAGTGTTGACCAAGTATTCAATACTCCAGAAGGAGGTATGAGATTAACATGCTAGAAAGAATGAGGATTTTGTTATAATCAGATTAGCCATTGAGGCACATTGGAGAGCCCTATAGGACAGAATAGTCTCTGTTTTGGAAACCAGTATTTGCTTTTCCTACACGAGTACACACCAAAACCCAACAAACAGAGATCGCAAAGCACATGTTGGCAGAGCAGGCAGTCACCTACCTGATGTGTTTTTAGGGAAGCCAATAAATCTACTTCTCCATTCACCATTCTCTGTACTAGGTATTATTCCTGGATGTACTGGAGCTGACTATTACTTTTATGTCTGACTAACAAAATGTCTTTGTTCAGTCATTTTCAGTAGTGTCAGACTCTTCGTGTCTCCATTTGGGGTTTTCTTGGCAAACATACTGGAATGGTTTGCCATTTCCTTCTCCAGCTGAAGACCACAGTAAGAAACCTGTGTTGTCCACAGTGTTGTTAGCTCTGACCATTAGGAGATAACAATCTGTTAATGCTTAAGGCCTAGATCCAACATTCTCCGAGGATGAGGGGCTCCCTAGAATACAGAGTCCTCTCCTGCTCACTTTTCTCTAACTTTTTTTAGGTCTAGAAGAAACATCTTTTTTCCCCCACTGACTCCTAACTGGAGATATTACAGGGTCAAATTAAGTGTTTATAAGTCAAAGATAAGTCACACTTCAACAAAGAAACTACAATGAAACAAATACAGCCAAGTAAGATATTCAGAGTTTCCAACGCAAGGTTGGCATACATCACTTTTTCTCTGAGACACTAAGTCATTCATTCCTTCTCTATATTCCTTTCTTAGTGCTCCTCTTTTCTCCTTTTCACCATATTAAATAAGTATTTTGGAGGGAGATGTGTGTTCTATTTAAAAACAATAGCAGTTTCCATTTAATGGTTTAGAGGAAGTATTTCATCAAGGGGAAATTTTTTTTTTTTTACTTTTGTTCAGATGGCACTTTCAACTTGTTGTAGAGAGTGACATCTGAACAATAGAAAAAATTAGGCCCATGTGTAGGTATGGCCTTAATGACTTTAAAGGTGACTTTTAAAAATAAAAAAAATTAAGATGTTTTAGAATAGTACTTGATAAAACTTTACTAAATTTATTTTCAATAACATAAATACAAATACAAAAAAATTTATCAAACACCTTCCATGTGTAGAACACCATGCTAAGCTCTGGGTGATAAAAAGTTTAGATAAGACATATTCCCTGACCTCCAGGATCTTACAGTCTAAGAACAGGTAAAACACCAACATAGATAACTATAATCAGAACTATACTAGTAAAGGTTTAACAACTGGATCTCCAGGGGAAAAAATTATGCTTGATAAACTTTTAAGTTTAATCTATATATTAAGATTTTTTCTAATACTGTCTTCAGTGATCAGTTATCAAAAAATAAATCAAACCCTGACTTGTAGCCTTTGTCGATTTTTGTGGTATGTATACTCAAACTGAAATTTTAACAATCAGCTCTTGAGAGCCTGTGAGCTGGTTTCAACACAATATTACATGATAAGTGCATTAGAAAATTACAATATAATGTGCCTATGTTAGGTCTGATAAGAGAATTCATTATCCATGACTTTCTAGAAGAGATAGCGTTTAAATTGGGCTTTAAAGGCTGTGTAGTTTTATAGGTGAAAATGCAGCGTGAGGACATTTCAGGCAACCAACAAGCACTTGTTAAATCTTAATATGTCCCAGGTGCTGGTAATACAAAGACAAAAATGAAGCCGTCTCTGACTTTAAGCAGAGAGGCACATACATACATAAGCATGTACAGATTATTTACAAAATAAAAGCAAAGTAATTTTAAGTGGGAAGGTCCCAGGAGTTGGGGAATCAGGAAAAGCTTCATATAGAAGGTACGGTTTGAGATGAGTCTTGAAGGAAATAAGGATTTCTAAGATGCTGAAGTGAGGAAGTGTTTCCAAGCATGGAAATGCAGATAAGTGAAAAAGCAAGGGGGCAAGAAATGAGATGTCATGTGTAGGGAACAGCAAAAGCCAGATTGGTTAGACCATAGAGTATAGGAAGAAGAATAATGTATGTATACATAAGGAACAACGTGAGCAAAGATGTGAATGTGTGAGAGCACGTTTAGGGAAGGAATCATCCAATTCTTCTGGAATATACAGTACATGGAAGGTCTATAAGGATTAGGCTATAAGAGTAGATGATACCAATGCCAGACAAAATTTAAACTTTACTAGTTGGGCCATAGTAGCCATTGAAGATTGTTGAGCAGAGGAGTGATATGATCAGATCCTTAGTATCTGTTGGGTTAGGCCTTAAGAAGATTATTCTGGCAGTTGTATAAACAAAGGATGGAATGAAGCAGAGAACAAGTTAGATGTGAAAGACAACTGTGATGGTCTCGGGCAGTGGTTCTCAAAGTGTGATCCATGGACCCCTTAAGGTCCCTGAGTTTTCAAAGGATCCCCAAGGTCAAAACCATTTTGTAATAGTACCTAGATATAATTTGTCTAGTAAAATACTCCTCCGTTTTCCAAGAACATATCTTCTGAAGCCCAATTTTCTTCATATATTTCAATCAAAATAGCTTCTCAATGGACTGAATGTTGAAGCAAATACAAGAATCCAACTATCTTCTATTAAACCAGACATTAAAGAGATTTGCAAAAATATTAAAATCAGTGCCACTCTTCTTACTTCATCTTTTGTTTTGGGAAATAAAATTTTTCATGAAATATTATTTATGTTAACATATCATGGACTTATTGTTATTTTAAATGAATTTAATAACTTTTTTAATGTATCTGTTTTAATTTCTAACATGGTAAATATTGATAGATATAACCAATGTAAGCAAACATGTTTGAGAGTCCGGAGTAATTTTTAAGAATATAAGGGGTCCTGAGACCAAAAAGTATGAGAACGGATGGTCTGGGGACATGCAATGAGAACCTAAACTAGGATGATGACAGTGGGAGTAAAGAGAAGATAGATGTAAAAGATGCTGTAGATATAGAAATGACTAGAACTGGATAACCCTTGGCAATAACTCTACTGAGCAAAACAACTAACTTGAGGCTTTAAAATTGAAAGTATTGTATGCTGTTGTGTAATATGCTATTTTCAGTATAATATACAATATTTGAGGAGATTATTGGTACTGACCCTATTTTCTCATTACAAGTTCCCAGTGCTCCTCTTTTTCTGAAGATTGTTAATCCAACCCTTGATTCACTAACTCTGGAATGGGATCCACCGAGTCATCCAAATGGTATTTTGACGGCATATACCCTGAAGTTTCAGCCAAGTAAGTTACTAGGAGGAGTGGGAAAGAGAGGAAAAGGGGGAAGAAAAACCTGTCTTTTCACATCTTGGCTGATTGATATTTATTTTAATATTTAATATTAATATTTATTTTTTAAAGTATGTATAATATAATTGTCAAAGTATACTCTCAACATTTCCATTTGAAGGGAAAGATTATGTACACAATAAAACAACAGATTTAGACCATGTAATTTTTCCATCATTGGTCAAAACTTAATAAAAATGAGCATGCCACTGCTAGCTAAGTCAAATAGAGTCTTTCACTATGATAAGAATAAGAATAAAAACTTTGTACCAAATTGATATGTTGCCTCTGAGTTAACATTTATGAGTTAATATTATATACAACTGTAATTTAAAGACACAGTCAAGAAACCATATTGTGGCCCTCACTGTAGGATCTTCCAAAATTTTTCATATTGGATTTCTCAAACCACTCCCCCAACCTCTACCTTTTTTTCTACTTATCACATGCATCATTGCAAAAGTCCTAAAAGCTTAGTGTAATATTAGCCCCATGAAACAAAGGGTGAACAGGACTATAGAAAGAACAGGATAGAAATAATCTGGGTTTGAGCCTTTGGTTGGCTATTTGCAGTATTGCTGATTGTGTTGCTATTATGAAATGATACCAGCTAATTGTGAATGTGTTTGCTTTCCCGTGACAGTTAACAGCACACATGAATTGGGCCCTTTGGTAGATTTAAAAATTGCAGCCAACATGACAAGCCTGGTTTTAAGAAATTTAAGTTACAGCACGCGCTACAAGTTTTATTTCTATGCACAAACCTCAGCAGGATCTGGAAGTCAAATTACTGAGGAAGCTGTGACCACTGTGGATGAAGGTAAGATGGGTATGTATAAAGAAAGTCTTCATGTCTGTCCAACAAGTCCGTGTGTTTGCCTTTTAATAACGCTGTTTTTTCTTTCTTTTTAAGGAACATACTTGTATGTGTCATGTAAAGGTTTTTAGTGACTCTTCATTATTTTATATTATATTATTTTATATATTTTAAACTAGTGCAAACTAGTGCAAGTTTAACATGAAAACTGGAAAGTGTAAATTACAGTATTGGGGAAAAAATAAAATGTTTCTCTAGATGGTTGAATTTTCTTTCTTTTTCTACCTATCTCCCTTTCTTCCTTCCTTTCCTTCATTTTTTTCTTCATTCCTTCCTTTCTCCTTCCCTCCTCTCTGTCTCTCTTTCTCCCTCTCTGTCTCTCTTTCTCTGTCGTTCTCTCTGTCTCTGTCTCTCTGTCTGTCTCTGTCTGTCTGTCTGTCTTTCTCTGTCCTCTCTCTCTGTCTCTCTCTGTCTTTCTCACTCTGTCTGTCTCTGTCTCTATCTCTCATTCTGTCTCTCTTTATCCTTATCTCTCTCTGTCTCTGTCTCTCTCTATCTCTGTCTCTTTCTCTCTCTTTCTCTCTATCTCTGTCTCTCCATCTCTGTCTTTCTGTCTGTCTCTGTCTCTCTCTCTTTCTGTCTCTGTATCTCTGTCTGTCTTCCTCTCTATCTTCTTTGTAACAAGACAGTATGGTGGGAGAGTTCATGACTTGTGGGCTTCACTATATTTGTGTCAAGTCACAGCTTCTCTGGGCTTGTTTCCCCATTTATAAAATTAAGAAACTGGACCAGATGATCTCTAAAGTTTCCTTTTCTCCTTAATCCAATCATTCTAAAGGCTAATTAAATAGCCCTTAATTTTTCTTTGGGTTGGACAAAGGCCTTAAATTCACTACTCTGACTAGGAAGAAGAAGGAAAACATTTCATTAAAGAATCCAGAGCAAAAAGCAATACTTTAATGGAGCCAGAAGGGTCTTCTATACATATTTTAGGTTTTATGACCCTTTGGAATTTTTCTGACTATTTGAATGATTAATACTTAGGGGGGATTTTATGGAAATGATGATGACACCGTCAAATGTATTGTATTGTTTGTAGATCTCTAACTTCTAAAGTTTTTTAGAAGTTACTCATTTAATTTTGAGAACTTTTCTTAAACGCAATAATTGGTTAGTATATTTTCTAAAAAATTGTTTGAAATATCCTCAGCCTGCATTGGTCTTAATCTTTAGCACAAAGCACAAATAATATAGCTTAAATGATGTGTGGATAGTAATTTTGTATTTGTTTCTTGGTTCATTTAGAACAACAGAATATCTTAGTTATTTCATTTCATTATACTTAACGTGCATTGGCATTTTAATAAGCATTTTTCCTAATCTCTCTGCATACGCTTCCATCTTGTCACTAACCTCATAGTGTCCTATTCTTGTTTTCTTTCATTAAAGCTGGTGTTCACCCACCTGCTGTAGGCGCAGACAAAGGTAAAATAAATCACCTGCATGACTTTGTAAATATAAAGATCAAAACTTTCAATGTTATGCATGGGAAATTTCAGCATGGATATGGAGAGAATTATCACAGGGCATGTCTTGAATATGTAATAGAGGGAAATGAAATGTAAAGTAAATCTAGAAAATGCCTAAGAAAGGAGGAACTCAGTGCAGTGTATATATCCCTTGATTTAAATTCTGTTCTCATGTGTGTAAAATCCATGAATTCACCAAGAAAATTCACCAGAAAAAGTTAGAAAACTCATCTTAGTCTACTTTGATATAACTATGGTCAAATTGGACAAGCCCAGTATTTATGCCTAATCCTTTTTCCCCTGTCTTCCCTGCATAGGTAGGTTCCCATCATATTCTTTTAAAAAAAAAAAACCTTTTAAGGATCCTGATCTTAAGGCATTTTATTTTTTGAACAGAATGTCAATGAATAGTGATTTCATTGATGATAACCCCAAGTGATGAGAATGATAAATCATTTAAGAACCAATAGCTTTTCTATATGGAATCCTCATACTTATTACTTAGATATTATTTGTCCATGAGGGGTTACTGGTATTAGAGCTTCTTAGAACAGATTTGGTTTTGAGGATTGAATGAGATCATGAGATCTACTTTTAAAAATAATCTTGGTAGTGTATTATCTTTAAGTTTCTTCATTCTGGATGAAAATTTAAAGTATTATATAGTATTTTAAATTAAATTACAATTGTTTAATTAGATTGTAGTTTTGTTAGATAGTACAAACAAACTTCAATTAAATTTCTTGAGTATATTAATGTTAACTTAATACCATGCTCAACTAGCAAAAAAAATGGACCAATAAGGATAGTATCTTGGCTCATGTTCTTGTTCCATTACCTTTCAGTGAGAATGTTACTCAGGTGTCTTTGACTTAGTAGAACTGATACGTTGTAGCAACATTTATTATAAAGTGTATTTCTTTTAAGTTAATACTATTTTAGTGATGATTTTTCATCACAGCATTGGATGTATATTGTGCTGGGGAAAGAAGTTAGACCTCAATCCCAGTTAATACTTCCAAACTTTTAAAATAACATTTAAATAGGAAAAAACAAACTTTTGTGATGAAACAGAATTATATTAATTGAAATGATCTGTACTTTAAATGTCATGAAGTAAAAATACTTAAATTAAGAATATTATATTGATATGTAAATTCTGTTCCTGGCATCCTTAAGACATTTTTATACTTTGCCCAACACTTGAGCTTACTAATTTACAGGCATTATCAAAGGAAAATATCTTGTGTAACAATTGGCAGAAGCAGATTAAGCTAAGGACTGAAATAGTCAAATTTTGTTTGGAATTAGGAACTGGAGTCTGACTGATATCTAAAATTGAGCAACAAGTTAGGAAGTTGCATTCCTTTTCTTAATTGCAGTTTATTTAACTTATAACTGGTGCTTAGTGTACCAGTATGCTATACAACCTGACCAAGTGATGGTCCTTCTCAAATGCTAGCCAGTTATCAAGAGGTCTTACACATGACAGCTGATGATAATGGCACGCTAATATGGCACATACAAGATCCTAGTATATGACTTGGAGAATGATGCTCCTTAAAATGAATATATAATCTAATTCACTAATTTCTTCAGTTTGGGATTCTATTAGATGAATTTCTAACTGTAAAAGTATCAGCCTACTGTTTGATGCACGAATGTACAGCATCTTCAAGGTTTTACTTCTTTACTGTTATTCCTAAAGTTCCTTTTCCCTCCTAAATCATGCCAATGGTTTGCTAAGTCTTTTCCCACTTTCTTTTACTAATGCTCTACTGTATGGGATATTGAATAACTCTGAAGGAAAATAAGCAGGAATTATAAACATTAGATAGATGTGAAATGATGTAATTTAAGTAAGGTATATTTACAATGAACTTCTACTAATCACCCAGGAGAGATATCTAGGTATTAGATAATTCAGCATTGGTCACATATTTATAGTAAAGATGAAGGGATTTATTTTCTTATATAAACAAATTGTCTGAAAATATTTTATGGCATATTTTAACAAGGTATGAAGGAAAAAAAACTACATTATGCTTTATAAAATGTGTCCCTGAGTATCTTAAAGAAATGAGTATATTTGACAAAAATATTCTTGTTTTAAAAAGTATCATGGATTGGTTATCTCTGATTTTACTGCAATATACCTGTGTACTATTAGCTGAGTCACAGATTATGGGAAATGAATTTGGTCATCAAAAAGACCCTTTCCATCTCTCCTAAGTCTAGTACCTACAATGGCTTCCTAAAAAAGGCAATCATTTCATGTAACCTGTTGACCTTGATCTCACTTGAGGACTTCACTATACATATGAATTACTTCTCCTGTGACTTCATTATCTCTCTACAAGGAATGTCTTCAGATTGACTTTTCCTTTTTTATGAGTTTTATTTTGAAAAGTGTTCCACATCCTGTATTTTCTTTGATGTCTTGGCTCCAGTTTAGATTCATAACTGATTCTTGCCAAAATGTGATGATGCATTCTGCATAAGTGAAAATGCCTGGGAAAGGCCTCTTTCCGGAGAACAAGAATAGATTAGTGGTACAAGCCTGATATTGTGGCTACAGTGTCTAAGCCTCTCCTAACGCGGGCATGACCCAGCACAGTCAACTCAGTAAATCTGAAAAACAATTCCCAACTGAGTTTTGCTCATAGTTGTTCATCCTTTAATAGAAATTAAATTCCAGACTCTTCTAAATAAAAGGATCCTTCCCAAATATGATACAATTTGGGAAGTAAAAGGGATAGAGATGGTATGTTAATAATTGAAATTTTTGTTCTGAATAATCATATCCATATGATAGTAAAATATATACATAGAAAATTAACATCGTTGAAAAAGGTATGTGTGTCACAACTTCTGATCTTAATGAACAAAGTGTGGTTATGCTTCGATGAAAATGACTGTTTCAATCTTAGATGAATCATTCCATTAACTTAAGAGAACTGTGTTAAAAATAGCTGCAATTAAGAATCTAAAGCAGAGATTCTTAACTTTTTTGTAGAAAAATAATTTATTTCATCTTAAGCACTTACAGTTAGTCATGGTAGTCTGATAAATTCTCTGTATTCCTTCTCAGAATAATGCATAAATGCATGAAATAAAATACTAGGATTACAAAGGAAACCAATTACATAGAAAATATAGAAAAACAATTGTCCAAATTTTTTTAAAAAGTTTGTGGACCCCAAGTTAAGAACTTCTGATCTAAAGGAAATAAGTTGCTGTAGTTTGAAATAACTGGTAAGTTAAAATAATAAAGATAGAGATAGCAATTATTAGTTTAATGACGATAAAAAAGTAAAAAATTATTAGCAGTAAGTTCTATCTAATACCATTTGGCTAGCTACTAAATTAAATTGACAAAGGCTGATGATGGAGTTTATAGAAATAAGCAGAAGATGTAGCACCTGGAAATTAATTTAGACCCCAATATTAAAATTCAATTTCATTAACAATTAA